ACTTGAGAAGACTGTCTGAGTTTCACATTTGCCATACTGGGAGTTGAAATGGCAAAGGAAGAGACTGAAAAGAGTGAAAGACAAAAGGCAAAGCTGAAGAAGAACGCCCCACTGGGCCTCTGACACGCCACAACCGTGAACTGCTGCAGATGCAGGAGAGAGACAGAAGCTGTGAGAAGTGGGAAGAGAGCATGGAGAAAAAATGAAGTCTGTTGTTGCTAATGTGAGAACACATGGAAATTGGGTTGGAAAACTGTGGTCGACTGTCTTGTGGAGGCAGAGAAAAAGTATCCACTGCTCTTCAGGTTGCAGGACAACAGTTTAACTTTTGTGAAAGGAAAGAAAAAGAGAGATTCTGGTTTGACCGACCGGTGATCAGACAATACATTTAGTTTTTAATCTGGTAAATTGTGAGGTGCTTTCTGATTGATTGGAGCAACACAAGTAATTTACTGTATGAAGGAAATTCTCTTTTGTGATAATATTTTGAACTTGCATTCCTGTTGTCCTGTCAACTTAGTGGGTTATGAGCTGATTAGTTGATTGTTACAGGGAAAGATGACTGCATTATAAAACAAGTGAATAAGATGTAGCAGAGGGTTGAAATGAGTTTGTGTTTCTGATGTATGGGTGAAGCTTGCACCCAGATACACACCTCTGAATACATAAGAACAAACTTGTTTTGTGAAATACATGACGACATGTTAATGAACAGAGGTAGTGACTCTTAAGTCTGATTTCAGACCATGTAAGCATCAGTTATTAATTAAAGCCAGAAGCAGTGACTGCAGCACTGCATGGCAGGTTCTAATACAGCATGTTGTTTCACCTCAAAGTAAGACATTTCCTGTGATTTTTCAGGCAGATTTGGGGGTTTTGTTTTAGTACCAGGCTGATTCTGCCAGTTAGGTTTGGGTTGTTTTCTTTTTGTAAGAGAAAGATAGGTTTATATATATTTAGACATGTCCTGAACAAGGCCTAATATGTTTGTTTTTTTTGTAACAGTGCACTTAGGAAAAGCAGGCCTGCAAGATTGGGAGTAAAAGCGCTATAAAATACTTTACTGAGAGCAAATACAAGGTGAGCTTCTTTAGATTACAATGGGCTTCTGAGGAAATTCCCCTACCTAGGATGCTGACCATATTAGATGGTAAGTCCTGTGTTTAAAAGGATTGTAGCGATTCAATCCATTTCAAAAGCGATAAGAATTGTTTTTATCTGCAGCTCCACTGCTAATGTTTTTTTTCTCTGAGGGTCTTTGTGGAGGATTCGGCACAGACATGAGTGAAGATGAAGCAGGATGTGCAGTGAACACAGAACATCTTAGTGTTGAGCTCACAGTGTGAAAAACAAGTGAGAGACATTACCTAAGAAAAGTCACTGGTTACAGTAGTTTTGATTAAACACAGGGGATGATCCATGATTTGGGCAAATTATGGCAACAGTAGTGTTTCTAATGATTTTGGGAAATAAACTGCACATGGCACACTTGTGTCTGTGGTGTTGGATGCCTTATTACTCCTATGACCCTACAGTTGTTTGCAAGTGTGAAGTTTGTATTTACTCACTGATTTTGGTTTCTAGGTAATTGTGGTGTGGATCCAGGCTCCAAGCGGAGCCAAGAGTTAGACCCACTAAACATGACATTAATACTAATTTTATTCACTAACACAGGGTTTACTGGGCTGGAGTGAAGTTACTCTGGAGGAGAAGCCCTGATGTTGTCTGAGAAATGATTTAACTAACCTTTTCCTTTTTGTTATTCTCCTAGTTCTGATGAGTTGACTCATTGGAGAGACCATGTGTCAAAAGGAGGGATTCCAGGTTTAACATGAAACTATGTTTTCCATGAGTTTTCCATGATGATTTTTCCATGGCCTTTTACTGTGATTTGTGGGGTTAACGGTTCATGTACAGATATTAAACCTCTACAGGGG